TGTCAACATGACCTGACTACAACGCCATGCCATGGTTAACTGAACAGGAGAAGTCTGAAGGTTGGCCAATCAACAAAACTACATAAGCTGCTGGCTACTTGGCTTTAGCCTCTAGCGGTCATGTGTTCGATCCTTAGTAGGGGACCGAAGGATGCGCACCACTGAAGAGCCCCAATAGGGCGCAACGCGCGTCTAGTGCTTTCCGGATTGGTAGCTTACCTTTGCGGCTTGAAAGCTAAATGTGCTGAGTCAAATCGATGCATGACCAAATCCGTCTACTTATTAGTAATTAACAACGGAGCCCTACCAGTCCTCGGATTGCTGTGTGGATTCACAGTGCTGGCAAGGGAAATCCTGACCCGGACGACCAACCACTGTCCTCTGCATGGGCAGTAACCTGCATGGCGGTCGAGGATGGGTCGGGCTAAATCCCGGTTAGGTTTCAATCCGTCTTGGTCGGCTGTCGTTCCCCATGTCTCAGGAACGTAAGTTGCTGGCTACTTTGCGTTAGCCTGTGGCGGTCATGGGTGCAATCCCCATAGGGGACCGAATGATGCGTGCCACCGCGCATCCGGTTCTTTCCAGATTAGTAGCTTACCTTTGCGGCTTGGAATGCAATTGAGATGATCCAAATCGAATCATAACCAAATCCGTCTACTAATTAGTACTCGAAATATAGAAATGTTTTAGAGCAACTTGTTTTTGTTTACATAGGTGTAGCAAATTCAACAGCAACAACACTTATTATTCGTGTATTTACTAGAAACTTAGTCGATGATGCAACAATCCAATACAGTGGAGAAGTGATTAAATATGTGGTTATTTGTGGCTGCTTATCGCTATATTACTGTATCGTTTTTGCTTCTCCACCTTGGATGCATCTGTGAAGTGTTGAAGAAAGCGATGTGATGCATTATATCTCCAGAGCAACATACAAGCAAGTTGACCCATGGTGAACGACTTTTTGTAGCCCCATTGAAAAGTTATTCAAGACTTGGAGGGTTTCGGTATGGCGCTCTTCCATATCTGCACTCCACGACCGACGCTCTCGTCCAGGTTTGGACTCATCAGAGAGATCTAACCGAGAGGATAGTACAAATCGGTGTATAGTGCTTGGCGGCTATCGCCGTGAGCACTACACATTGAGCTCCTCGAGCAGTACTTAACATTACGGTTTAAAGTTGATATTAGTGTTGAAAAGCACCCGCCCCGTGTCTCGGATTGCGACATGCAATCTGTATTTTCTGAAACTTGTCGGTATGGATTTCGCGGGCCAAGTTGTATGCAACTAGGAACTTTCGCCACACTTCAGTGGTACAACAGTGTATCTACCGTACACATGATACAATAAGTGTGTTACATGTGGTTGTAAGCGACGCTGAGGACTTTTAACCGTGTTCTATATGTTGCATTGTTTGCTTGAACCAGACACAGGGTTAATCGGAGTATCCCCGTAGATGCGGATGGAGACAATTTCAGTCGATGGACTTGTGTCCTAATAGGACTTTATGTCGCACAAACTGATAATGAGCCATCATGGGTGACCTAAATTTATTTGGTCAACGGTTTCCCAATGCATACGCTAGACCAGGGTTAAATGAAAGATCGACGTTTATGTATGGGACATATACGCATTTCAACTGAGTCGTGGTGTAACTTTTATATCCTAGATGTTCACTTCCAATGACAGACACCAACATCTCATGAGACACAGTCAATTTTACGGGGAACGCATAACATATATGAGTTAACTAAACCAAGCCCTTACTTCTACAAATTTAGTCATTCATTGCTGTGAAATTCAGAATATTCATCCTAGCTTAGTGCTTCTGTACACTAATAAAAACTAATTTCAGATATCCAATACAAAGCTCTAACTCACAATCAGGATAAATCATTCGTCTGCTGAAAGCTGTATGAATATGTGTTGTTGGAGTTAATATGAATGGCATACATCTGCCGGCTTTCGTCTTCTTAGTTCGTTATTCAGATCTAGGGTATAAATGACATTAAAAGCGTTGGTAATCCACAATAACTATGTACTTTGAGTTAAAATAATAATACATGTCACAGGATCGACCTGGGCTTGCTCCGCGAGCGACGCGTTGCGTCGGCTAACAGTTTCTATTCCAATTTCGGCCGGAATATGTCGGTCCTTTTTGTCGAGACAAGAGCCGAGAAGCTTCAATAAGAACCAACTGCAATTGGTACCTAAAGAAATCAGGTGTATTAAAGCCATCACATATATACGTGGAACTTCTCCGCAGGATTCTCAGACATTTCCATCCTCGAGCACAACCAGTATGGGATACCAAAAACCCTGTAAGCACACACATACTTGCATGCATGCCAACGCCATCTGCTGATGTGATCCCTCTCCAACACAACGTGTAGAACAAATTTTTTCTCAAATTCTTAAAATTTTGGCACCTGTGATGCATTACCATTACTGATAATCTTTTCGCGTCTATCACACCCATAAAAATGTATATTTTTATTGATCTCGATAGACAAAAGGATCCCACATACGTGGGGAAAATGAAAATTTTATTTATCTACTCAACTGGTGTGGTCGTTAAACCTATCAATGTGCAACCCACTGGAACTTCTCGTTCAATTCTTTAGCAACCGTTAGACGGTGGATGGCACCCTGTACTACAACTGGTAACAGTATGAAAGAAAACATCTCCAAACTTGGTTACCATACAACGGCATCCTTGCTAGACACCCATGTATGCCCGACAAATCGGTATATTCGAATTGTCCAACGAGGTCTGTCGATCGGTATTCAGTTAGATGACAAATGCACATCTGGAGTGACAATGGTTTTATTCTTTTGTGTATCATCATTAGCGCGATTCTTTTTTGGAAGCTGTGAGACCAGAAACACAATAAGTACTATGCGGTAAATATGAGTTCCTTGACGTACGGCAATGTGTGTCATCGCAGGACGTTATGTACAGGCTGTTGACTGGAATATGTTAACAGGGGAAATAATTGCTTTTAACCACATAGGTAAATAATGTTCACTTGTTCTTATCTTTTATCGCCGTACTTTGTTAAGCTGGATTCAAGCAATGAGCGTTTGGATATCTGGGTTGTGGGTTAACTTATTATGTCATGTTCATGATGGCCAATGAGCTTGTGAATTATGTGCTCATGAAATTCTAAATAGTAGGTTTTAATCCATATGGATTTAGTTCCAGTAAAGAGTGGTAATTTTTGTCTAGGAGCTCATAGTTCGATATGCCTAACTGTTTAGCCGTCAGGCTCTCAAGAGTTTACATGCAACTGCCAATCTACAGTGCCCGCTTATCGACAGTGATTTGTGGATGTAAAGAAACCAGTGAATTTTCCTTATCTGGCGTCATAACTGCGTCTTTGCCCATTTGAAGATCTTAAATGGATAAACCGTTGACTCCCTGAATTTATTTATTATCCTTCGCTATTTCCAGATTGTTACCATTTTACGTACGCAACTGTAACCTAAATGAATCAAAATGAAAGCCTCGGAGCAGTTACTACTGGCCGAATTCCTATTCCGGACCAATTGCAACGAAAATTCCCACTCCCCAGTTGTTGTGTACCCCAGCCAGGGATAGAAACCCATGCGTCCAATTGGTCACACACTTTTCGAGGCGGGTTCTGATTGGTTGGTAGAAGGATAATTCACCCGGGGTGGACAGAGAAGGCAGTGCCGTTTTACTGTTGTTGATGTCTCCTGCCGCAGTAGCCTATGATCACACTGGAAGACGGGAGCAAACGCAGATTGGCCAAAAGGTATAAAAGCGAAGAATAGCTTCCTATCTAGGGAACAAGAGGATTTCTTCAAGTAACGGTGAGTCTATGTGGTTGTATAATATGGAGAATTGGCGTTGTTTTTCGGTATTGTAAGCTGCAACATCTGGAGCTTCCGTTATATTCTATCTCCAATAGCAATGCGTATTGCTGGTAACATCAGTTACCAGAGCGCATATTTTTTATACACGGACTTCAGTTTTAGTTGAATATGGTTCATGTAATTTTCTGCCTTGATTCATGGACGATTTATCATCTCAGAGAGTGACATGTATTCAGCTCCAACGTTTTATGATTAGTTGAAAGATTACAAAACTAATAGCTCCTCGGTGCTGTAATGACAGCTTATCATTCCGCGATTCTAGTTTGGAAACCCTGTACTAAAGGGCCACCGATATTTTCAGCTCCTTTAGCTGCAATTTGCTCTTGGCTATCTCTTATAACAGAGCAAAGGTTCCCACGTTAATGAGGTTATTAAAATTGGTGATATGAAATTTATACGTGGATGTGGGCAGGATTTTTAAAGCTAAGTGTGATACTTCAATATCAACATACATACTTCACTGGTTTTTATAATGCCTTTGGAATAAGCAATGATTCATCGTCCATTATTATTGAAACGCCACTCGTATGTTCTAGAAACTACACTGGCGTTATCTCCTCTTCGAATTTATTGGTAAATGCTCAAACTTACCCTTCTTTACGAACTCAGTTAAAGTCAAGTAAGCTTATGTCTACCGAAATAAAAACGCGCCATAGCGTAAGTAACAATAGTTCCTTCTTCGGGCTAAACGAACATGCTTCTTTAATATTGGCTTTGCTGAAAGCCATGGCTTTATCCAGTCCTCTTAAGCGTGTAGTGTTGAAAGCGGACAGTAACAAATATCCCCATTACCCAATTTGCTTTCAAAACATTAGCCTAACAGGTTCTGTTACTGTACCAGTTTGGCTGAGTTTGTCAATCTCGAACCTTTTAATAATTATGAAATAGTATACGAACGTAACCGGCGTAGAGCAGTGCTTCAATTACACTCAGTTATGACTTCGATGCGGACTTCCCTGAATTCCTTCTGGTATCAAATGAATTGCTTTGGCTTATAAACCAGCTAACTTAAAATTACTCAAACAGTTGCTGCGATCGTCATGCCGGCCATCAGCACAGTTTTATATCCGGTTTACTCAGTCCCGTTCTCATTTTTAGAATGCCACACGAAGTGATCTTCCATTCGCCGGATGAACAGTCTGTGATAATGCGTGTGGCTCGTGAACTAGCGAAGCTTGGTGATGAGATAGATGAGTGTTTCACAGGGTACATTCCTCGAAGGATGACAAACGTTTGGAATTCCACTCAGTTGGGAGGATTGCGAATGTGGACGAACGAGAGAGCAGCTGAGGAGAGACGGCCAGTGAGTTTATTCCCAATTCACGTTAGCAAGGTGAAAGAAAACGCTGCTATTGGAAATGTATATACCAGTGATTCGGAGAATTAAGCCTACAAATGGTTAGTCGTAAACTTAGCTAGGGGAGTGCAATGTGGTACCTGGTACAGACTGCCGTTTCGAACCGCACATTGTATCATTGTATTACTCAGTCACAGCCTGCTTTAGGTATAAGTTTACACAGCTATATTTTCTTTTACATCACGTTGATTAGTAAAATCCATGCAACAATAAAACACCGGTCACATATAGTTCTGTGGAGCAAACAATTTTAAATCAGGTGTGTAGCAGTTCACAGTAGGTGGTGCGATTTTGACGGCCAATACAAATTTGGAAGGGGCCTGCATGCATTTGCAACCTTTTGTTTTCTAAGACTCCTGACGCAAATACTTCATATATTCCAAGCAATTCCTAGAAAGGCTTTAGGGGAAGTAACTTCTAAATGCATATTAGGCAGTTTGCAGTTTTCAGCTTCGAAGGTTATTTTCAAGTCATGTTTTATGTGTCCTTCGAACGATGTCTATCACGCTCGGAATATATGTGCGACTCAGGCAAGTGAAATGAAAAGATTCTCAGGTAATGGCCATGGACCACCACTACGTATAACACGTTGGTCACGGGAAGGAGGAACGTGAAATATGTCATGCCCAAAATATCCACAGACTGGGCATTTAGTGGTTACCTAAACCAATGGTAGCCACAAGTGCGAACAAATAACTTTATTGAATGCAGTAAGTGTCCAAGGTTAACTAAGGCATTCAGGGCACGTACACGTTGCTAATTAAGCTTTGGTGTCTAGTAAAAGTTAATGAGCCGTATGAAATTGGAAGTAAGCATTTGTTCCATCGATTTTCATGTTAGTCAGGCGGATTTTGCATAGAAAACGCCAATGGCCTGTCAAGCATATGTCATTTTTTATTTTCATGTATTTCAACGAACGAAGCATTTGGTTTGATATAACTCCGTACTCTACGTGGTGTAGCTATATACAATTAATGAAGACCAAATCGTTTTATTTACAATTCTGAATTTGATGACCTTGGGCTTAAGCGAGAATCTTCGTTTTATTCACTAGGGCTCGGTGACGGAAATTGTTTTTTGTTCACGTTAGCACAGTGGTTTTCACAGACAGTTGGTCGGTTCAGTAGGCAATTTGTTTTCTACTCAGGCCAGTGCAATACGTAGCAATGTCACGCAACTCAGCAATCTTGCTTGGCCAATAGTGATATTCGCATCTGAGTTAAAGCAATACTCCACATATGCTATATAGAATCGTTATCATTCATTCTCGGACGTTCACATAAATCTCCGTACATCCTTATTCACATTTTAGACGCAAAGCGAACAACAATTACAGCAGAGCCCAACATTTTTCACGAGAACTTTAAAAAGGCTACTTCTGACAGCCACTTTGTATGTGCTTCTGAATCTGAGATGAATGATAAGCACAGAATGCTGAAAGGATAGAAGGTAGAACGCCTTAATCGGAACAAGCAGAGGATGCTCCAAGGAACTGCTATACGACCGCCTGCCAAACTCGTTCTAGAATTGGGGTCTGCTAAAGCCATCAAGTTACCACGTACAGCCTACCATCGGGTAACATCCTCCGCCGGATTTAGATGATGTCAACATGCGCTTGTGAACAAATATTCCTTAATACATGCTTACTTGAAATCGGCTGATTATTACTGTTACTAAATTCACTATTCTGCATAACAATGGATAACTATTTGACAAAGCGGTGCAATACTTTAGGTTAAGGTCAAGCTACTGATAGTAAGCCAAAATGCTCCAAGCAAATATTTTACCTTCCGTCGACGTTATATTGGAAGAGACCAACACAAATAAAACATAATACAAAAGACCTTGGAGTGTCAAGTTTGAGCCAGTGCACTCCAGTACTTACTGTAGGAAGAAAAGATCCCGAGTGCATCCTTTTAGAAGCACTCAGAAAAGCTGATACTGCAATGACGAACGCGGTCTGATGCTCGTGGATAGGCAAAACACCAGGGGTGGAATTACCCTTTAGCCGGTTTTTTGGAATTATGTGGGTGGTATTTATCATTTGTCCAAGGTAGCCACTTAAATTTACTAGATGAATGAGCGGAAACACAGGAAGCGTCCTATGAGTTGCCCGTTAAAACAATCGCGACAACCAAGCTGCCCCGTTAAAGTATGGAGTTTATCAATTATTGGGAAAAAAGTGAGCTCATATACTCGACAGATAATTGCAACCAGAAACGTGTGGATGTAATGAGATGAAATGTAGCGCTGCACTGCAAGATGATTGGATAGGGAACTTTCGTTTCGGTTCTACTTGTGTATTAATCTAGCCGGATAAGATAGCAGCTCGGAATCCGTGTACTGATGGTCGATCAGTTTTGTGTCTCACGAAGGGGGCCTTGTTGAAATAGCAAGGTGGAATTATGATGATACGTACCTCTCACCATCGCAGCACAATGTCCTTCGCTTGTGAACCAAATCTAAACAAAAGCAATATGCCCGAATTTACCCTAATTTACAGAGTACTTAATGTTTCCATCAGACATGTTAATAGCGTGAGTCTAAATATTACTACCTACAGAGCATTGGGTGATGGGACGGGGCGACATGTCATGGGGGACAGCGATTGTAGTGCAGATGCTTACATGATACTAAGATTAAACGGCAATAATTTCAGGTAGGCCGATAGTCGAATAATGTACTACTGCTTTAGTTAACCAAAAACGCATTTGCCCCAATCCGTCACACCTTTCTGTTGTCTGTTCTTCCCTGCATTTGCACACGTCTGTCCGGTTACACATCACTCCCCATAGCAGTTAACCGTGAAGGCAATACATTGTCGCCCATAAGACATTGTACAGCTGTCACGTCATTGCAAACGGTTCCACGGCTCAGTACAAACTTCTGCATGATTCCAACTTCTGACTGGCCTTCGTGTTCACAATTTACCTACAGGAGTAAGGTAATTTGTACTATAATTGTGTGCCTTGTGAATAATAAGATGTTTAAGCACTGAGTGGGTATAGGTGAGGTTTGTGCTTATTGAACATGCTATGCATTTCTCTAGGTGGGAGAGCCTATAGTGTGCTGAGGCTGGTGGTGGCTACATCCTGACCGATCGCCTACCCACTGCTGCTACTGTTGTGTAATTGGCTCATGTCCTGGACGCATTCTGGCGGCGGCCACTGGGTGGGAGTTGGGTTACCCGCTCCTCCCTGCTAAGATCCAGGACACCAATCCGCATGAGTCAGTGAACTGACCATGTGCTAGACCCGCTGCCTTTCGGGTGTACATTTAATCGGAGGCTTTGACTGAGGACCTGAGACGTACTCCTGTCAGGTTTGGGTGTCCTGGCAGTATACTAGTCCATCTTCTTCGGAGGTTAGGAAGTGGTCAAGGGCTCCTTAATGTAAAGTCTATCCATGGGATACAGCAGGTCTAAAGGTTATAAGTTCACAGCTCGATTGGCGAGAAGCACGAGCGCCACGAAATTTCTCTGCTGCGGGAGGACACACCCGGGTGCTCAGTGGTTTGCTACTGCTCACCACAAGCCAGGCAGCCCCTGGTCAAATTTGTGCAAACCCCGCCAAAACCCTCCTGCGTCTGACCGTGGTCCCATGAGCGTATCCTACTAGGGTTGCAAAACCTATGTGAATTGTTCCAGTACCTCAAACGCCGCGTGTGTCGGCCGTCAAACAGATACCAATCTGTCTCTTCAGTCACTTTTCCTAGCTGGATCTGCTCCCCACTGCCTTGTGGGTCAGGCTATTGAGCCAAAGGCTCCGGGCGGAGTCCCTCAAGCAAACCTGCAAACCACCCACTTTCTTGTATGTAAGACTATTGAGATAAAGGCTCCGCGCGCAGTCTCTCAAGCAAACCACCAAATCACCCAATGCCTTATGGATCAGGCTATTGAGCCAAAGGCTCCGGATAGAGTCCCACAAGACCACCTCCGAAGCACATCCGCAACATCGCATGCGATGGCCCACCAAAGCATTCGGATACCTGCGCGCAAAGCACTCAGCATCGGGTGCTGGAACGTACGCACACTAATGGACCGGAACTCCAGCGAGCGCCCGGAGCGACGCACTGCACTCGTCGCGATGGAACTTGCGTGCTACCACATCGATATTGCGGCCCTCAGTGAGACTGGGCTTGCTGAGCAAGGTAAAATGCATGAAGCAGGTGCTAGCTACACATTCTACCGGGTGGGCAACGCTGCATCAGCACCTCGTGAACATGGCGTCGGATTTGCAATATCCGATCGCCTCCATGGCCAGCTGGTGGGTGAACCAACGGGCATCAGCGCGCGACTGATGACTGTTCGCCTACGACTCAGAAGAGGTAAGCCTGCCACTTTTATAAGAACGTACGGTCCGACCATGTGTTATCCTGATGACACGCGTGATCAATTCCACGCTCAGCTATCCTCCGTGATAGGGTCTGTGCCGAGGAGCGACCGACTATTTCTGCTGGGCGCTTCCAACGCGCGCTTTGGGCGTGATGCATCGGTGTGGACAGATGTTATCGGTTTGCATGGCATTGGTTCATCGAATGCGAACGGTGACAGGCTGCTCTCACTGTGTGCCACTCACGGCCGGACGATCACGAACACTCGGTTTGCACTGAGTGCGAGTGATATAGCAACATGGACGCAACCACGGAGTGGTTACGCTCAAATGCTCGACAATGTTATCGTCCGTCCGCGTGATATGGGTGAAGAGCGCATGACACTTGTACTGCGTGAAGCTGAGTGTGGCACTGATCACAAATTGGTGCGGACCAAACTGTACGTATATTTTCGTAAATCGATGTATTGCACTCCCGCCGTGAATCGGCGTAAATTTAACATTTTCTCTCTCGGTACTGGGAGATCCGTGCCCCAGATTCTCTTTGGTGTCGGCTATGGTTGCGGAACCAAGACACATGCCTTATAGCTGCGATTTACCGTCCACCAGACTCGAGTTTTGAAATGGACTCCAAACTGAACCAGGTACTTCAACTCCAGTCACATTCTAATCGCAGGCGACTTTAATTTGCACGACCTTTAAATAGCCGCGACCGATAGCATGCAATTCAAGGCCCGTTTGCAAGAGGTAATTTCAAGCTGCCTCTATGCAACCACAGAAACTCCACTGGATTTTGAACTGTTAACAGGCCGCCGATACTTGCTATTGTGCTCCCCAACGAAGAACTCCTGGTCGACGGAATAATTACAAGCAACCACTGGGTCGCAGTGAGAATGTGACACTACTGTTTAACTGTGTAGGCTCTGCGGAATCTCCAGAGGAAGCGGATGATACAGTGTATACGGTCACGCACTACAACTTGCTAGCTATGCTTGTTAAGGAAGTACCTTGAATCCTCTTAACTGAATGCCCCACAGAAATCGCCTGTGAGACTTTCACAAGGACATTTAACACACTAGTAGTGCATGCGTCTGAGCAGAACTCCTTCCGTCGTCAAAGTAGAAAGAAGTCATTTCTGAGGAGCAGATCGCAAATGTATGTCATTGAAGGACTTAGCATGGAAAGCTCACAAGGACTCCCTGAATTCCAAACCTGGACTGCCTATTTGGCACAGCGTAAATTCTGTTTGACCTTGATCCGCGAGGACATGGTGGTGCATCAGCAATAGTTAGTGAAGAGATTCTGCCCCAACCGCAAACTTTTATGCAGGCATGTTAATGGCCTTCGTAAGGTGCCTCGTGGAATGCCAGCACTGATCACGACTGTCGAGTGAATGCCATCAAGAACGGAAGGAGCCGATCACCTACTCTTTCATTACTCACAAAAGTTCCAGAGAGTAACGGGCCCAACGGTTACCAGTCTTTATAGTCTCACCATCAGCTTTTTCCAATATCACTATCACTGCAGAAACTGTGCCAAAGAACCTCTTGTCCCTGCGTATCCACAGCTATCTTGGTGATGATATCATTGGACCGAAGGATTTACAGGTGGCAGTTAGTGAGCTGGCGGAACCGCTACCTATATTCTATCAGCGAGCTATAGAGGAGAACCATATTTTAACAATCCGGAAACGAGGGGTCATCACTCCTATTCATAAGCGAGGTAGTTTCACTGAATCTATCAATTAGCGTCCGATAACGTTGCTCCCTGTACTTTCCAAGGTTATGGGGTCATGCACTAGCTGGAAAATCACAAGATTATAGTACCAGAGCAACATAGCTTTCCACAGAAAGGCTCATGCACTACAAATCTGCTAATTGTACGCAATGGCTGGACTGAAACAGTTGATGGTGGAGCAGGAGTAGATATCCTTTACCCGGGCCTCTCAAATGTATTTGATCGTTTAGACAACCGAATTATCTTCCATAAACTTCAGCTCTATGGCATTGTTGACCCACTACCTCATTGGATAGGCTATTTCATGCACTAGCGTACGTTGGAAGTGAATGTACGAGAATCCCTGTCT